TATCAATACAATGTAAAAACAAATTGTAATGTGAAGAATAAGCTTCTTCGTTTTAAAGAAATTAAATTATATGGCAAAATTGACTATAATAAAATAAATCAAGAGTTGTTATTTAAACTTAAAGAAAAGGAATTTAGGAAACTTAACATCAATGAAATGGCTGAACAATTCATTAATAGTATTCAAGAAACCATAAAAATGGAAGTCCAAACAAAAACCATCACAGATATTAATAGAAATTTCCACAATAAATGGATGAACAATCCAAATTTATTGGCAATAAGTAAAAAAGTAAATCTAGAGCGAAGTAAATTTAAAACAATGAGATTACTTGGTTTAAAAAAAGGAAGTTGCTTTAAACAATTCAAAATTTATAAAAAATTAAAAAATATCAAAACCTACCTATTGAGAAAATTTAAAGCCCACTATTATAAAGCTAAAATTGATATGTTTAAAGGCGATGGTGTTGCAATGTGGAAGACTTTAAAAACTTTAACTGAAACTAAAAGTAAAGCTCAATTTGATATTTGGGAAGATGTCAAATTTGAGGATTCAAATAATAAATCCATTGCTAATAAATACAATAAATTTCTCATTTAGAGTATTATCAATATTGAAAAATCAATAACAAAGTTGAATAAATATGTGGCTGCTGATCACATAAAAATACCTCATCACGTAAATGGAATGAATGAATTCAGAGAAATTTCTAAAAACCAACTGAACAAAATAGTAATTGATTTAAAAGACAAAAAAAAGTATGAGTGAAGATATGAATCTACCAATTTAAAAAAAAATTCTACAGAGTCATTTGTTTAAATTCGCTGAAAATAATTAATTTGTCTTTAAGAACAGGTTTTGTACCTAAAACTTGGAAAAGATCTACTATAATTCCCATAATGAAAGTGACATCTCTCAAGTTACCACAAGATATGAGACCACTAAATATATTAGCAGTGTATGAAAAAATACTTGAACTATGTGCACATATACAGCTGTCTACTTATTTTGAAGAAAATAAGCATTTTCGTCATGTATATTATGAATAATAGGGGTCAGTGCTAGGACCCCTGTTATTCATAATATACATGAATGATATTAACAATTGTACCATATATGTAAAAATCAATCTCTTTGTAGATGACACATTAGTTTGCATTGAAGGTAATAATTACAAAGAATCTATGATGTAGGTACGTGCGTAAATTCGTAATTTGCCGTAAAAACGCAAGCTAAAATCTGTGACCCGATTTTTGTAATTTGGCCAAGACACGTATTAGGGCAAACGACACTGTACCGCTAATTATGAACCAATTTTTTTGAAATTTTGCACGTAGTTTGGAAAAAGGTTTGTCTAAATTTTGATACATTTTTACACTACTTTACAAAAAAAAAGCATATATATTTTTTCATCATAAGTTGGCACATTTTTTCTATGAATCACAGCTCTGTAAATTATGGCAGGTACTTTATGAAACTTTAAGGTATTGTAGATCATTTATTTGTCTAATATTGGTACAATTTTTATATTAATCAGGTGTAGCGCACATTGGTTTTGGGTTTCCCCAAGCACCCTAAGTATTTCTATGAAATGCTGGATTTCTTGCCTTGTTACGTTGCGTTCGCATTTTTTCATTTCTTGTAGTCACATGATAGTTTTTGAAACTCCGATTGGTGCAAAATGCATATTATTAACTTGCTGTTTTTTTATAAACAACCTTGTGGCATTTGTGGATTCTTAAAAAGAATCCTTTTTGAATCTTTTGAAGATATATAATTTTTTAGTTATATTTTTAGTTGTATTTTTGATTATTCTTTCAAAGTATTAAATTATTTTTATTGAATATTTGCATCATTATTTACTCATTAAATAATTAATCAAAATATATTTTTTTGCTAGACTATTGCAATAGTAATTAAATTCTATGAAAATTAATTTAATTTTAATAGTTTGTTAAATAAATTACATTTATTATTATATACTGTATAGAATTATAAATAGTTATATATTATATTTGCTTTGTTATTCTATAAGTTATGAACGTCTACAAAAACTCTCCTTCAAGAAGGGTAACATGTTAAACATGCAGCGTTAATATTATTAAACATGTTACAATAAAATTTAGTGAATTATTTACTATATTTATTTTATTCTCTATATTAAATAAATATAATTTATTTATTTACAGCTTAGTGCTCTAAATAATATAATTAAATTTTTATACTTGTACCTAGAGTTTTTAAAATGTCAAAGAAATGTTTAATGATGAATCATTTGAAATCAAAGTATCTTAAACTACCTTTTTCGTATCAGGTATGTCTTATAGGACATGTTTTACTTGTATACTTTTAAAATAAATGTTCAACAACTGAAACTCCGCATCGTACAACTGTGGAGCAGATGATGCGTGAGCTTGGAGTTCAGATCTGCAGACTGCTGAAATAGCTATTGCAACAAAAATTATGACCTCGAGCTTTGATGCTACTACACAAGAGCGTGGCCATATAAATACTGTGCACTTTACAACCAAAACACGATGCATGGTTGTGGCTATTGACCAACTTGCTTGGGGTACAGCTAATGATTATCAGAGTCATGTTACACAGTCTGTAGATCACCTTGCTAAGATGTATAGTAATTTTTACGAGCAACAATATATTGAAGTACGAAGTACAATTATTGCTAATATAAGTAATATTAAGATGAGTGTATAGTAATATAAGATATAGTAATTATTCCTAATATAAGTAATATAAGAGTGACCGAGTGGTAGCAAACCATGCAACTATCACTAAGTTAAATACTTAGTGGCAGTAATTGTTAAACAGTTACTAAACTTCCATCTTCACCCATTGGATACAATGACCTCTGCTTGCATAAGTCTTCACTTAAAGCATTGGAAACATTAAAAGGGAAACTGTTTGGCAGGGATTGTATTGCAGCAAACATTGTTATACAGCTTAACAAACTACGCTACAAGGTGGTTAAGATAAATTAACCATTTACTCTAAAAAATATCTAACAAAGTATCAGAAGCCTTAATTTAACATATTTTTCTTCTCTATATTATATATATAACTTTTTTGCTTAAAGGTGATCCGAACTGTTTTTAATCATTTACTAAAAGTCAAAAAATAAGTTATAAATTAAAACATAATTTTTTATTTCATTATCGTTTTTTCAAATTTAGCGTTATTATTAGTTCACATAAACAATCGCATTATGTAAGTTTCTTATTTATTATACATATGTATACATTCTCTTTTCTTTTCTTTTTTTTTTAGCATTTAGAGCATTTAAAAGCAGCATTAAATTTAAAGTTTTAAGATTTGGAAGGAGCGTATTCTACCACTTTTTATAATGCTAGTTTTTGTTTTTAAACTTTTTTTTTGTGATAGATGGGGGGGTGACGCCCCACATCCTATAATTTATTATGTCACTAATATATAATTTAATAAAATATAATTTTTATTATGTATTATTTTATATATTAGTTTTATTATTTACTTTTTTCATTCATTTTAATAATGATAAAAATATTTATTAGAATGAATCTTTCAATACTAGGGTGTGTACCATTACCACCACATCCACCTCCTTCATAAAATACATTTATAATATTTGTTTGTAAACTGGAATAACAAAATAACAACTTAAACTGATAAATTACTAGTTTTATATATAAAGAAACAATCTTTTTTGGAAGAAATGTGAATTTTTTAATGGCAAAGATGTTTCTTCTGTCCCCCCTCTAGCCCCCTGAATCCGCACAGGTGTCAAAAGCAAAAGAAGCTTGTAGCCCAATGTTACACCTATCTTTTAATACCAAGTTATATGCATTTAGATAAGATTTGACAATGTTAAGCGGTTTAAGTTACAAAACCATTATAAATTGGTCACATTTTTGTTAAGGAATCCTTGTAATCAAATTTCGTCACTATAATGCTCATAACTTTTTGTAGAATCATCCGATTTTGATAAAATTTTCAGTTTTGGAATATTTTTTTAAAATTCTTTCCAAAAATATATAACAATCTAATATTTAAACAATTTGAAATTTTTACACACGTACCTATATGATGAAATTAAATTCTGACTTGGAAGTAGTTGCTACCTGGTTTAGTGGAAATGGACTGAAACTAAATGCAAGTAAGTCGATGAATATGCTGATTACAAGCTCTAAAATGAAATACTCGAGTATCACTGTAAAATATTCTAACATATATATCATTTTGGAAAATGAAAGAGTTAAATTTAGTGAATCTGTCAAATACCTGGGTATTAAAATCGACAATAATTTGAATTTTTCTCAACACATTGAATTTATTGCAAATAAAGTTGCTAAGATTACTGGGTATTTTACCAGAGTTGCTAAATATCTGTCAAGGTGGACAAAAACATTAATTTTTAATACAGTTATTGCACCTCATTTTGAATATTGTGCCTCATTATTCTTAGATGCAAGTATAAATGATGTAAAAATACTACACAAGCTACAAAATAAAGCTATGAGAACAATCTTGAAATGTGACTGGTTCACACATAGTAAAGACATGTTGTTTAAATTAGACTAGCTATCTGTAAAAGAAAATATTCAAGTGAAAATATTGACTTTTATACACAATACAATTCAACTACAAAAAATGGATGCCTTTCAAGAATTTTGTATAAAAAACAGTGAAATACATAATAATTGCATAAGAAATGCAGCAAATTATCACTTAAAAATTTGATAAAAGAAAAGTTGACAAAAGTCAATTCTTTGCAACGGTATAAAATTATACAATAAATTACCAAATGAATTGAAGTTGCTTGACAAAAAGGGATTCAAGAATTTAGTTGTGAAACACATTTAAAAAAAGGGATGTTTATAAATAGTTTCGCGGAATTTGAACTCTTTTTACTGTGATTTTTATTGAGATTTTTATTGTGATTTTAAATAGCATTTAAATGAGCTAAATATATTAAATTAAAAATTAAAAAAAAATAAGTTACTTACAATTATTGAAGACATTGAGAAAGTAGTGCTACTATCAGATTATTGTATAAATCTAACTGAACCATAAAAATTGTTTTTTTTTACCAACATTTAACTATAATCTTTGTTTTTGTTTTTTATTAGTCTTCTGCTAGCAAAACGATAAATATCACATTTTTATATACTTACTATATTTATTTATAGTTTTGGCGCTATTTACTATTTGACGGACGTATTTTGGACAATATTTCAATTACTCCATCCGGATAAGTCGCCGCTATTTTTTTCGAGTCACTTTTTTTTTAAATAATTTGAAAACCCGCGTTTAGGTTTAAGTAAGAAATGAAATAAAAGTTATATATGAAAAACTAGAAAGTATTTTTTATTACCTTTGTATAAGTCAAAGTGGTTATTTTGACTTGAAATTTCGAAATACATTTTTTGACTTATACGCGAGCATATACGGTACATTAATAAATGTACCATATTTTGTATATTAATATTAAGTAGTTAAAAATTAATTTTTTTATCACTCAAAAAAGATAAAACTTTGAATAAGATTAGTTAGAAAATAAATTTTGGTCTAAAATCAGTGCTTTTACATTTTTGCAATTGCAAAGATGTAAACATGTAAAAATGTAAATAAAAATGTAAAAAATTATATACTCGCGTATAAGGGGGAAAACCTCTCAAAATAAAATTTTTTTTTCAATTTTTTTTTTCCAGATATTTTAAAAGTAAATTTATTAAGAAATCAAATGGTAAAAACCTTATTCGAAAATCGCTATTTTTTATATCAATAAATGGCACTTTTGTACAACCACCTGAGTTCAAAATTACCTAGCAACGCCCCTAGTTACAGAAAAACTGTGAATAAAACACATCTAGCTTTAGTATAGCTTTTTATCCGTTTTTTTTTTTTTGCAGTTTAGTTTGAAATGCTTCCCATTATCTCTAAAGCCATACTTTAAAACCACATATTTGACTGGTAGTGCTAAAATTAGTCATCTTTTCAAGCTTCTACACAATCAACTCAAGCTTTCTATATAATTAAAAAAAAATGGACAAGTCTAAAACTGAATATAAAGTGATAGAGTAAAATTTTCTACAAAACGTCTTCGAAAACGTAAATGTACATTTTCTGGTTTAAGAAAGCAAGAAAAATGTGTAAATATTGGTGTAAATAATGTAAATAGTAATAATGAAAATTCTTGCGGCGAAAAAACCACGTGATCATTGCGTAATTAAAAACAAAAATATCTACCATTATGATATGGGGGCAAACAAACGCGCTGATTTCAGTACATCATTACTTAAACGCCTTGAAAATGTCTTATGATTATCAAGAAAAGTTATCTAAAAAAGCTGCTGAACGTTACCAGAACAATATTTAGCGTTATATTGAAATAAATCTGTGCAAATGCTTAAAGGAAACATGGAATTTAATTAATTCATCATTTTGAAATTATTGCACAGTTTACAGATGTAGTCAATAAATAAAACAAAAATATTACATATTGATATTCTAATAACATTTAAAAATTCTATATTTTGCTTAAAATTTTTCTCAGTGTAATATTTATTCTTCATGTTTTTAATATATGTGAAATAAATGTTATAAATAAAAAATATTTTTTACAGTATAATAATGAAATGATCAAAATTACTAATTACAACAATTTAAATTATAACATCGTAACAATATTTATAAAGCTTTTTAGTAAATGGTATGAGGATTAACAATATTATGTCTTGGCTTTTAAAAAATAACATAAATGACTTTTTATCTTTATTCGCAAAGGTACCAGTGACAGCAGCAGAAACTCTACTAAAGAAAATAGAACCAATTTATGCTGAAAGCATTTACAAAATAATGTTTTATGTATCATGTTAACATGAAAAATAAAAATTTAATTAAAAATATAACTAAATAAATAATAAAGAAGAAACTTACTTTGTAAGATTGTTTTTGTGACCTAGGAACAATCCTAAAGATTAAAAATGACAACATTAAAAGTATGTTTTACTTTAAAACATGTTTCTTGCCTATTAGTAAATGATTAGAAGTAACGAGTTCAAGTAAAAATAATCATTTCTAATAATCTAATAATCATTTGTAGCAAGAGACACCAACGAGAAAGTAAGCAAAGTTGTCTATCAACACAAAGCCTCACAACAATAACATCACTATAATAACACAATAAAACAAAATAAAATTATACACATAATGACTTACAAGTGAATCAACACCGCACTAGAGGTTGAAACAGAACACAAACACACATATAATGTCTAAAGGGTGAGCCAACACGACACCAGAGGTCGACACAAAACATAAACACATATATATTGACTTATGAGTGAGCCAACATACACATAATCACTTACCTAGCCAATGCTGCATTATTTTTAAACTACCATCATTCTCAGCTAAGTTAACTTGTTTCATGTTGGTTCAAGACACTAACATCTTCCACTCCAGTCAATGAATTGTCAGTACTTATTTGTTAACTGACTTTAATAACTTGAGATTTATTGCAATGACTTTTTTGTACATAATATTCTAAAAAAGTATAAGCATGTTTGAGGTATATAGTAAATACAAAATTTGTGCTTAACAAGCTATTGAACATTAATTTATTTAAAAATAAAAACAATAAACACATGATTTATAAATGCTTAGTTTTAATGCATTAATATTTATATATACAATTTATTTTTGTTATGCATCAATGCATAACAAAAATAAATTGTAACTATTATATAAACAGTTTTTACAAAAACATTTTAAACAACAAGATAAACTATATTATATAGTTTATCTTGTTGTTTATACAGTACATATAATACTATATAGTATATACTAATTGAATTGTTTAATCTATTTATTCTCCTTTCATTTCACATAACAATTGGTTATGTTGGAGGGATGATTTCACTATATATATTTTTTAGCACCTAACATATTTACTGATGGAACATAGTCAACATGCTTTTCAAAATTTTGAAAAGCATCTGGACTATGTTCTTTTTTTTCCTAAAAGAGAAACATACTTACAATGAATAAAAAACTTAATAAGTTTAAGAAAAATTAGTGCTCAAATATTTTGACGATTCAAATACAAAACCAGATACAAAATGTTTTGAGCATACTTAGACATGTTTTGCGACCTAAGTTTGTTTTAGCAAGATGAATCAGTTCTATATAAAGCATAAAGCCACGATTTTCTTCTCTTTGGATCAGGAAACAAAATATAAAAAATCAAGTACGGATGACTATTAACATTAAGTGAACAATCAAAAACACATTTCTCCATTTTCAAGCGCTTTGTTTGCCCCCATACCATAATGGTAGCCGTTTAGTTAGTTAAAGTGACGTCACGTTCGCCGCAAGAATATGGTAGACTCTGTAAATATTGAAAGTGAAAGTGTATTTAAAAGTGCATTAAAAAAAAAAAGTAAAGCAACTAATGGTTCCAAGTGGAAACTCAAAATGTGTCAGTGGCTACAGGTTTATTGATTTAGAAATTCTTGCTTCCATTTTTGATAAACTTGGGTGTCCAGAATGTTTGCGACCATCACAGTTGTCGTTAAGCGAAAATAAAAAGTCTTGCAAAGGATATGCATCAAATTTATCATTAAATTGTGTTTGTGGTTTCAAGTTAGACTTTGACACATCAAAAAATGTAGCAGGGTTTGATATTAACAAAAGATTAGTGTATGCCATGAGAACACTTGGTCAAGGCCAAGCTGGCCTACATCGGTTTGCCGCTCTTATGAATATCCCAAAAGGATTATGCAATAAAAGCTATAATGTTATTGTTCAAAATTTGGCAACTGCAGCACAAACTGTTGCTGTTGAAACTATAAATAAAGCAGTACAAGAACTCAGAGAAGGCAAATCTCTTAATGAGATCTTAGATATTGGAGTTTCTGTTGATGGAACATGGCAAAAAAGAGGATTTAATTCACACAATGGGGTGACGGCAGCATTATTAATTAAAAATGGGAAGGTTTTAGATGTTGAAGCATTATCTAGAAAGTGTAAAATATGTGACAAAAATCAAGATGTTGGTAATTCAAAGCAGCAGCTAACAGCAAAAAAATCACATATTTGCAATAAAAACTATGAAGGATCAGCCAGTGGAATGGAAACAGTTGGGGCAATAAAGATATTTAATCGCTTTTTGCGATTTAATTTACGATACACAGAATACTTGGGTGATGGTGATAGTAAAAGCTACACTTCTGTCAAAAACACATACAAGGGTATTGAAGTAATTAAACTAGATTGTATTGGACATTTTCAAAAGCGCATTGGATCTCGTTGTAGACAATTAAAAAAGCAAGTCAAGGGTTTAAATGGTAAAGGCGGTTTAACAAGCGCTACAATTGATTGGTTGCAAAATTATTTTGGTATTTGCATTAGGCAAAATTGTGGCAACCTTGAAGGTATGAGATCTTCAGCTTTGGCTAGCTTATTTCATGTAGCATCTTCAAGCAATTGGCTTAAATAAAAATTAAAATAATTGGCATTACCCGCATTGTCCCACAGGAAAAGATAGTTGGTGTAAATACAATCGAGATAAAGCTAATGGAACCAAAGAGTATAAACCCGGACCAGGTCTTCCTATTGAAATAGTACACAAGTTAAAGTCCATTTATGTAGAACTAAGATCAGATGCTTATTTAAATCGTTTGCTTCATGGAAGAACACAGAATCAAAATGAAAGTTTTAATGCAATGATATGGTCTAAAATACCTAAGTCAAAGTATGTTTCGCTTACGCAATTGAAATTTGGACTCTATGGTGCTATTGGTGCCTTTAATATAGGATTAAAGTCTAGTATACTTATATTTGAAAGACTTAATATGATACCAGGGCAACATACCATTTCTGGATGCAATTACCTGAACCAGAAAAGAGTTATGATGTCAGAGTATAAAAATCAAGACACCATCAAAAAAAAAAGGAAGATTTTAAGAAGCTGCAAGCTTAAAAAATTTGACAAAGTTGAACAGAAAGAAGGGAAATTGTATGGGGCTGGTGTTCATGATTAAAAAATACAATCAGTATGCTCTTTTTATATTATATTTTTTGTATCTTTGTTATTATATAATATTTTTCATCACAATTTCAACTTGGCATTTTTCTCAGAACGCGTGTTTTTAATCTCCCGGCAGAAGTATCTTGAGTACCGCTTGACCGATTTTAATGAAATTTTCAGGGAGTATTCCTCTCATAAAGATGTATGCAATGAGCAGACAACTTTTTTTAAATGTTTTTTAAACTAAAGAAATTAAAAAAAACATCTATTATTTTTGTGCTTAAAATTTTTGCCAAAATTAAACAGGCCTACTACCTGACAGAAAAGTTATTATCAAAAACTGTCTGCTTATTGCATAGATCTATCTTTTAACTATAAGTTAGAAAAAAATCAGCTCAAAGTATCATTCTAATTGACTGCAATCTTTGCCAGGGTGAAGAGACTAATTTGACATTTTCCCTTAGTAACCACGTTGCCATGGCAACAGAGTGCCATTTTTTATGATAGATCTTCTTAACATTTAGTATACTTTTATTTGGAACATGTAATAACTTTATTAATGCTTTACTTTAGAAAATAAGTTTTTGAGGGGTTTTCCCCCATAAGTCAAAAAATGTCGAATTTTAATGCGAAAGATTCATACAAAAAAAAGATACCGCAAACATATACCTTTATATAAACTTGATTGGTTTAATATTTTTAGTCATGGACTCAAAGAAGGTAAAGATAATGCGCCTAACTGCACTATCTTTTCTTATAATCACTAAAGGACGGATCAGGGCACCGGTTTTATTTAGAGTTTATCTCAATATTCTTTAACATTGTTTAAATGATTATCTAACATTATGGTGACTGATCAACTTTGCTACAGAAAGAAAAACTCCACAGTTATCTTGATCAATCATTGAGAGTGTTCCTCTTAATGGAAAATAATTTTCTGGTAAAAATATTGTAATACCCACTAATATACAAAGGATTTTTCTGTGTTAATACAAAATTGCAAATCTTTGTTGATGCCTTTTCTATCATTTGTAGCATTCACCAAGTCTTTCCATAATTAATGTTTTCTTAGCATTTTTGGTTGCCTTTGTGGTTAATCTTGTTATAAAGTTTTTTCCAGTTATTTCCGATACCATTTTTGCAAAGTTTGACAAATCGTATTTACCTTCTCTCGATAAAAGACAACACGGTTTCAAAATATGGCTTTTTTCCTGATACTCCACACATGTCAATCCCGCCCAAACATGAGGGCACTGATATAGTAAAATTTTTAATTTTACTACTTTAAACTAATTTAAATTTATCCACAGATTTTAAAATTCGTACAAAAATATTGTATATTACAAAATTATAACCTTGCAAAATTTACAACCCAAAATAATACCAAAGGTTTTGAAAAATATTTTTCTTAAAATATCAAACCGATACAATACTCGATCTACAGGAAGATTTATAAAACCTTTCCGCAATCAAAACTTACAAGGTTCTCCATTTCTTATCGTAGCCCAATGCTAATAAATCATTTTACAAGCCTGAGTCGTAAACTTAGAGTAGCCAATACCGCTTAAAAATTCAAAAAGATCGCAATTGAATTTGTTGCAAGTCAAAATACTTTACTTGATTTTTTCTAACAATACACATTTATCCTCTTTTTATTTATTAAAGGTTACTGATGATAAGATATTTTCTTCTTTAGGTTCTTCCTTCTTGTAATTGCTATATATGATGAAATATATTTGTATTTAATATTTTTAAATATTTTATATAACGGAAATCACCATAAAAATAATAATAAATAAAATAAAATAAATAAACAACCCCTCTTTTTTTTTGGGGGGTAGGGGGGAATAAAGGATATTTTTCATAGGCATAACTTTTATAATTTAAAATATTTTTCAACAAAATTTAAAATCTGTTAATAAATTTAAATTTAGTTTAAGATAATAAAGCTAAAAATTTTACTACATTTTCATATATATATATATATATATATATATATATATATATATATATATATATATATATATATATATATATATATATATATATATATATATATATATATATATATGTATATATATATATATATATATATATATATATATATATATATATATATATATATATATATATATATATATATATATATATATATATATATATATATATATATATATATATATATATATCAGGGGCGGATCTAAAATTTTATATAGGTGTAGCTAAAATTTGTAAAATTACGTCATAATTGCAACTATTTAATAAGTCGGTTTGTCTACGTCAAAAAGACGTCCGATAATTACGTCATGTAGACGCCGCTAGACAGTTTTTTTATCTGAGCGTCTTTAATTCACTTTTTGCACACATACATTTTTCATTTATTTTTAATGGATTCTAGTAAAAAAATTAATGATAAAATATAAAATTTGCCTTGGCTATTCTGTTCGTTATTTAGACATAATGTCTAACTTACTTAACGAAGTGCACCAACTAGAAGGTAAGCCATAGGACTTTGCACTCCATATGTAAGTTGTAACGCTGCCTTAAGTTAGCTCTTCAATCTGGATTCTTTCCTTTATAATTTTGTTACTAATAAAACAAATGCAACTATTACTGCATTAATAATATGATATCGTGATTTATTCAAAAGATATTTACTTTAAAGTTGTATACTACTACATATAAATATATAGTAAAAAAAAAAAATTTGAACAGTCTCACTATCTACAGAATCCTCAGGAAGCTAACTTATTACATCTTTTTTTTTATGATTACCGAGCATTCTTTTTGTAGCGTACTCTAACGAAATTAACACACATTTAAATTTTTTATTTAGTGGTTTACATTGTTTAGTTAAGAACAATTTTTAAAATATTTAACATTTTAAATGTCATAGATTATGAAATGTACACAAAATAGAAAATAAATTCATTTATTAAACATTTATAACAAATAAAAAGTAAGATGCTCTAAGAAAAAATTAAACAACGAAAAAAAATAAAAAAATGATTGTAAATATAAGAGATATTCAATTATTTTATTCACATATAAATATAATTATCATTCAATCATAGCCAGTTATTTAAGGCTTAAATAGCAACTTTAAACATCTCTCTTCAGAAGCTGAAAATTTTTTGCTAACCCTGTCTTTATCTAGAACCATTTCGGTATAAATTGACATAAATGCTAGGTCATTCAATGACTTTTTTAACACACTACTTCTTGACTAAGTTTTTAATTTCTTGGTATTGTACCTAAAATATTCAAAAATGTTGGGGAAATCAGTCATGACTTTTGTTTAAAAAATACTAGATGGGGGTTTTGACTGATCTTTCTAAAGAGGCTTCCATAATCCAACTCTGCATGAATAAAGGTTGAATGCAGAGTTAGAATGATAGGTATCTAGAAATTCCTGAAAGTGGATTTGCAAATCTTAGTTAGTTTTCTAGTAACTTAACATAACAGTTAGAACTGCAAACATCCCATATAAACCAACTTGCTTTCTGTTTGAAATATTATATAATTAATAAGATTTATTGAACATTTATGGAAACAAAGAATGGCACCTAGTAGGAAACGGGCCCATTTGGAAGAACTACTGATCTGCAAAACACGTGATTGAACTTTTCAACAATGATTAATTTTAAATGATAAAATAATGCGGAAAAAACTTCAAGATTACAGCAGTTTAACTTGTTAGTTATAAATGAAGTTTTAAACTTCTTCTAACTTAACAGCTGTTATGTGCAAATTCACGCGAATTCCTTTGTGCGGATTTAATTTCCAAATGGAATTATATTTATTTAAAACATTACCAATGTCCTGAAAGTATTGTACATACTGCTAATGATAATGTCCTAAGAGAAATGTTTGTGTTGAAATCATTTCGAAAAGTTAAGTTTTTTAAAGAATAGTGTTACAAAAAGCAAATAGTATAATTATTTACCGAATTTTTATGAATTCAACGAACTTCGACAGTGCTTTTTGTCGACGTCTTGTTTAAAATAATTCTTCAAAATTTGCGGATAGAATTTTTAAAAGCTCTTTTTTCTATTTTGTACGACTTTCGTTTTGTATTTATTTCAATATGAAGCAATTAAAGAAAGGTCAAGTCAAATACCCTTGTGTAATGTGGTCCAAAAAGTGTGGAGATGGAACAATTTGTTGTGGAACATGTAAAAATTGGGTTCACAAAACCTGCCTTGAGATGAATGACGAACTTTTAAATCAATGGAAAACCCCGAAATAGAGTTTTTTTTGCCAGCCCTGTTGTCATGTTGGAGATGAATTTGATTGGAAAAAAAGTCTTACAAGGTATTTTTTAATAGTTATTAGTACTATATATTAGGTTTGTTTAAAATACAGGGTACCCATGGAAGCAACTACCAGCAAAGTAAAGCAGGGCTTTTAAATATTTATTAAAGATTTTAATCTATTAAAAATGTTATTGTACAATCGTTTCAAACTTTCATTCAATAAAACAAAGAGTGCATGTATATATGTACAACTGGCATCAAGTTTTGTAAAAACTGTCTTTTTTTTGTTTTTAATACTGACTTATTTTAGATTAAAATCTAAGCCAACTTCAGGTCAATCTTTGATCGAGCGTTTGTTGCTGAAAACATATATTGTTACTCCACAACCTCAACCATCAGATCTCATTCCAGGTTTGGAAGATTTAATATCCATTTCTCTAATCAACAAAATGCAACCTCAAATTCTGCAGAAATACACACCAAGATCTACAATTGGTGACGGCAACTGCCTCTTCCGGACTGTGTCACTAGCTTTATATGGTGTTGAAGATCATCATTTGTATCTCAGGGTTCTCACATCCATTGAGTTGATACAGCACAGAAGTAAGATATATTATTTATATAGATTAATTAAGTAAATATGGTTTATAAAAATAAAAATTGTATTCCTCTTATTGGTTTCGAATAAATAATAGTAAGAATCCACAATTGTAAAAAAGTAACTTGCATTTATATCAAAAGCAAGGTAGACTATTATGGAATGCTCCATGATATAAATTGCATATATGAATGTATAAATGTTTATTTTTAGATTGCTATGATTTATCATCC